ATGGTGTCGAAAGCAGCTGATAGATCTAAAAGTAGAAGCACAACATTCAAGAGTAGAAGTGCAACATGTGGCTAGTTGAAACAAAATACAAGTCCGACATCTATTATATATACCAAAAGTGTACCGATGATGAACTTGAAGAATCACAAATCAGTAGTTCGCGCAAATGAGTTTTAATAAAACCATTAACTACCTTGATTTAAATATTAATATTTCCACAGAAGGACTAGAAATATCAGTGTATAACAAAACTGATGATTTTAATTTTCATGTTGTATCCCTTACATTTTGTCACAGTAACATCCCAACCGAGGTTGGCTACAACGTTTTTTCAAGTCAAGTTCTTAGATATGGTAATGTTTGCACTAGATTGGATATCTTTACCTCCCATCTTCACAACGTTGTCTGAGGAAATATAATAACGTTTCCAGGAAGTTCGGTATTCTAGATGACCATAACATTATTAAAGAACTCCCCTGATATCTTTTGATTTTATTGAAACACGGGTACTAGCTCTGCTAAACTGAAAAAAATCTGAAACTTAGGTGAATAAGTGTACAACGTGCTAAACCGAAGTTCAGACTGACCAGTGAAAATGGGCGAGCGTACCAAGTGTCATTTTAAAAAAATTAAAAAAGAAAAAAAAGGGGGACCCCCAACCCATGTAGCAGAGACACCTCACAGCAAGTTGACAAAAGTGGCTCTTGCTTGTGAAAGGTGTATCAACTACCCGCCGAGGCGGTGGGTTGGGAGTCCCCCCTGGGATCATCTCATCCGTAAAATTTGACACAATATAGAAGCTACAATAAATTATCTATAAAATTTATATAAACAAACTTAAGAGACCACAAAGCTCGTCTTCTGAGGAATGAGATTGAAGGATACGTCATCCAGTCCAAGGTGCTGGGCTTTTTGTCTTCCTCTGATTCCCCTGAGTGCTGTGAGTGTGCTTCGTAGCAGATCAAACCTGAATCGTGTTCTGATGTGGTTTTTGACCTGGCTCTTAGCTTCTTTATTGTGGTCAGCTATCCTTTCAGAAATACGATCTACAAACACAGTGCAGAGTGGGCCCATACCTCCGGATGTTGTAAAGACTAGTGGGACAAAGGACCCTTTCTCTGACTGAAGTACCCTTTCCTCATAGAGATCTTTCTTCTCTTTCTCATGTGCACTGTCAAGTGTCATTTAAATTAGATGTTTTAGTCAGTGATTTATTACTGAAGCTTTTAATTACAATAACTAATGCTCCTGTAAATACTTCAATTAATTTGTTCCGTTATTCTTTTTCCTTCCTCTTTTCCTTGTCATCCCCTTTAGTTTTAAGATTCTTGCTATAAATGGCTACAGCTAACACTATTAATGCGAAGTACCAAACAACAAGTGGGAGGTGGATCGTTGGTATACCGTTAAATCGATTTAACACCGCAATTCCAGTCGCAAGCCTGGGACCACTACTAGCATTGTCACAACATCTACAAAGCTGCCATATAGCCTGACTGACAATTTTCTCGACTGACTGACAATGTTTTTTCTTTTCCCCATTTAGAATACAAAGATTAGTACATTTTAGCTTATGATTAATATTATATTTTTATCTATAGTTTACCTAGACTAGATTAAAAAGTTCTAATCAAATATATGGCGACTTCAAACCATTGAAGATTAATGAAAATGTTTCGAACAGTATACATGTGATTTCAGCAATGGTAATTGTCTAGCTATAAGAATAGACACCCTCGAAAAATGAATTAACCAATTCAATAGATAAAAATAAAATCCACAAATTCACATCACAACAAAAAGCAGTCTAGACCCCCACCTAACTTGTATCACGTGGTGACCCCCACGGTCGTTTCACTATAGCGTCTGTAGCGTCTTCGACGCTACAGGGGGAGCCGTGCACTTCGTGCGCGGCGGGTCATACAACGTATGACAACACCTAACAAGCACTCCATGGCCTGTTTTAGGTAAACCTTTGAAGATTTACCTATTTTAAATAAAGCAGAGTCTAAATTTGAATAATCAACTCGAAATATATGATAGAGAACGTAGCCATCATCGAAACCGTTATGATCAACACACAAATATTTAAAAAAAAACAAATATCCTCATAAAAAAGGCCCCGACGGTTGAAACCAACTCAAATCGATGTATTTTTGAACATCAAACATACAGCAAGGGATTTGGTTAGGATTAACATTAAGGTCAGTGTAGAGGATTAGGTTTTCGAATAGTCATTTAGGGCCACCCAAAGAACTTGTTAAAAAAAGTTACTTGATTGACAGTCGAGTGTAAAATGATTAATCATCATTTGGTTTTAACCTAATTTAAAATTATGTGAAGCAGTAGATTTATAAAAATGTAAGGGACTAAAAAATTAACGGGTGATACTCGTAAAATATCTGTTCCATATATTGGACCGTCGACGAGTCCAACTCGGCGCGCGTCCTGGTAGGTTGTAAACCTACAAATAAAAAAGTGATAACACGAGTGATTGTATTGTCTATGTAACGCTCGATTTTCACAGATCAGTCAAAATAAAAATAAGCGGAGTGCACCACTAAAAATATGCGCGGCGCACGAACGCCGGCGCACTAACTAAACATACAACACTAACTAAACGGTGCACACTGAATTTAATTTTAAGAATGTTTGGGTTTAGCATGGCAGGGCCAATGCAAAGCTTGGCAGTTGAAACCAAATTGAATTCAAATTGAAATCAAATTGAAATCAGATTAAAATCAAATTGAAATTAGATTAAAATCAAATTGGAATCAGATTAAAATTAAATTGAAATCAAATTAAAATCAAAATGAAATCAAATTGAAATCAAATTGAAATGGATAAAGATTAATCACTCTACACTCAACTGTCACGTGACCTTTTCAACTTAACGGGTGATACTCGTAAAATATCTGTTCTATATATTTAATTGGACCGTCAACGAGTCCAACTCGGCGCGCGTCCTGGTAGGTTGTAAATGGTAAACCTACAATGTACAAGTAGCGCCGCGCACTCAATGAGGCTTCTCACAGATCGGCGAAATGCGCTAATGTGCCTCGCCGAGCTGCGATGAATCAATTAATTCCAATATCCAACAAATTTTTCGGACAGTCTAGTTGTGAAAGCTCTATTGGAAGATCTTCAGAAATTTATTTAGATTATTACATATTAAGCATTAAATGTAAACCTTTTGCATTTTACATCAAATTTAAACCAAACGCAAAAAGCTCCATTCCAATTTCCATATTGTTCCACATTCTCACAAAAACAATGACAAATTGCAAATGAACAGCATTCTTTTTAATACAATTCTATCAGTATCATATCTCTATCTTCAATCTATAATTATATCTGCAAACTCATAATTTAATACCCATACCCACTGCGAGCTGATCATTCGCGAGGTGAAAATGAGCGCTGGGGACGATCTCTCTGAAATTTTACCTGTTGGTTCAGTGGACGATTTTAGCCACAGCGCCTTAAATTTAGCACGATCGTCCATAATCACACAAAGTTACAGCTAATTTAGTGATGTAAACACTCGTCGCAATATACTGGAATTGAATCGAGCGCGTTACTATGGTTACTGCGCGTTGATATGGTTACTAGATTTAGATTAGATTCATCGTTTTAGCGCGCGTAGCATGTAGCATTATTACAATTCTATCATATTGTCATATTATTATTAGATGCACGAGTTTAGCTGCATTTTACATTTAATTTCAGGAATCTGCAAGATTTGTAATCGATTAGATAATATTTAATTTCGTTCTTCATTCCTTGCTTGGCGGTCCTCATTTATGTATGTATTTTACCTGGGAGCGGGAACTCCAGGCTACGCTTTTCATTAACCGGGATGTAATTTTCATAAACCGATTAGAGTTTAGTCAGTATGACATGCTGATCGCCGCCAGACAGTTGAAAATTTGTTTCATACACATAAAATTGATTGTGTCATATCTGAGTTCTTGGCTGTATTTCGAAACCTCAGTCAGTTGTGGGTTTTTACCGGCCTAAATAAAAAGTCAAGTTTACAGGACATTTCTGGGGAACCTTACTATGTGTTTTACTTAACAAGATCAAAGATGCGAAGGTGAGGAAAAGGAAGCGTGCATTCGAGAGCGTATCATTTTGTACATTATATAAATATTACCCCGATCTGAAGCAGGAGGTGACCGGGATTGGCAATTTTGAGTTATCCCGGTCCCGGTCAACCGGGTCAAGTCACATTTTTCATCCCGGTCGCGGTCAAATGCTGATTTATGATCCCGGTCCCGGTTAATTCAGGATTCTTGGTCCCGGTCAATCACTCAAATTTGCCGTGATTTTGACCGGGATCTTTTACATAATTTCATTCACTGTGATTTTAAGTTTTTACTTTCATTCATTGTGAATTTCATCTTTAAACAACCTCTGAGCCAAATAAAACAATGTTTAAAATTGCTAAACAAGTTTAGGTAACTAATATCGTTACATAACTCATAAGTGCAAACTAACATCAAGTTTTCAACTCGGGCTACGCCCAATTGTCCATTGGAGAATGAAACTGTTGAATAATTTGAGGGATCATTGACTGAGGAATGAGGGTGAACTTGAGTAATCAGTACATGAACATTATTGGTGTAGTACATTAGGCCCATGCCCCATATTGACGGGTTTTTTCTAGTTTTTTCTAATTTAATATTCTAGTTATTACTTATTCAAATTGTTCAATTATAATGTAAATGAAAGTTGCAGCTTTCAATATGAGAATACCAGTTTTGGTCCCGGTCAAATCCCGGTCATCCCGAAAAAATTGTATTGTTGGTCCCGGTCCTGGTAAGATAGAAATCCCAGAAATTATTGGTCCCGGTCACGGTAAATTGATAATCTCTGTCCCGGTCCCGGTCAAGTCACATTTTGTATCCCGGTCCCGGTCCCGGTCAGGCCTAAAATCATGTCCCGGTCACCTCCTGATCTGAAGTTTGATGACTAGAAAACAGTGAATACAATTAATGTTTATTAATATTATTATCGAACTTCATATTATATTGTTTATCCTAAGTAAAGATCTGATAACTCTACAACAGGGATCGGTTAAACTATAAATGGAAACAATTTAAATACTGAAACATAAACTAGTGTTAACATATCTATAATACGTTAACTTAAAACTTAATTACATCAACTTGCAAGATTTAAAAAATGTTCCCTATAAAATACAGAGGCAATATCAAATATGGCACAGTTCAGTCAAATGAAAAAATCTGTTTGTTGATGGCACTGAAGAATATTTTGAAAAAAGCTACGATGAAAGTTGAAGGAACAGTTAAAGGAACACTATACCAATTTCAGAATGTAAATTTTCGTGTTTAAATATCATACTTTATAAGGTATAAAGTTTCGTATTATTAATCAAAAGTTGGTGTAATATCACACGTAACACGTTTTAGATATTAAACAGAAGAAAGTTTTTTGTCCTAGATCAAGAGCTGCTCATTTCTCACAAGCAGTGTGGTCGGGGTTCTGTTCTTCGATTCTTGCTGCCTTTGTCTTTCGCACGCAAGTAGGAGTACCCTGAGGATTAGAGGCAATAATAATAATAACGCTTTATTTGTATACCGCTTAGGCCGTATAATCAACCATGAATTATTAAAATTTTATAGTTCTACAATTGGAACCTGCGACTTGTTTTGCAGTGAATCACAATCCAGACGAAATGTGTAATTTTAAAAAGTATAGGTACACACCTGTCCGTAGTTTCTCGTACATCACGCGTGACGTCCGGCTAGAAGGAGTTTCTCCCAGGTCTGCTGTCTAGGAAGAGAGAATGGGAGATGAGAGCTGTTTGACCTTTATGACTTCACTTAACAGCCAGAGGTGCCATAAGCTAACTCGTCGTAAATTGCGAGCTCTGGCAGGTATCCTCGGGTGATTGTCAGATGAGATGGTGGTCCAAAAGAAACTGCTGGGAGCCTGACAGAAAACCGTATTGCAAGCCCCGAAACGGTGTCAGGTTTGTGACTGAAGATTCTGATCAAGCTCAGGGTTGAGTCTACACAGTGTCGCCACTTGCCGATGCCAGTTGATGCGACAGGACACTGATTTAAGTGGGAAGTTGTGTCTAAGAAACAGCGTGTGGTTCGGGTGCCGGTTGAACGCATGTAATAGGGAGGGTATATCCGTATTTCGCTGCTAGGAGGTGGTCCGCAGATTGCGTGAAGATGCCTACTTTTAAACCTATCAATAGGTTCAATAGGTAGGTGCTAGTGATGCAGTCCTTGACCCGGAAGCTAAGGCTTCCCCGTTTCTCGCTCATTTGTGCTCCGATGTTCTTGTGACCTCTGCAGGGGTCAAGTGCAGGATGAGGGACATGGCCGACCAGGAGAAGGTTGTTTTTGAGAGGTATTTTTATACAGTTTAACTGTATCATTACCCTTGGAAATCTCTCGACCCAAACGATGCCAAATTCTGCCTCCGAGCACAAGTACTTTGTAGGGGGTCAGCGAGTCATTTCATGTCTATTGTTCAATGTCGTTGAGTACAGGGGAAGTTAGCTGCTGTCTACTGCCGTTATTCTCCAATTCTTAGAGTTCGTCTTTCGCACGTGAGTAAGTTTCCTGGGGAAAATAAATAGTCAACCAAAAATTATTAATAATAAACATAGATGGACTTCCCACAATTATAACCAGTAAATCTGACACCTGCTAGCTGGCGTAAATTTTAAATTTAACACGCAGTGCGCGCGCCGCGCGCTAAAAATATCTCAAATTTGAAAACTGATGTGGTTCTTATTACCGAAAATCGAATTCGCGCCAGCCGCAGAAGATGAATCCGAGATTTTGGAAACATTTGAGACAACTTCTGAAACATGTTTTTCGGCTGTATATGTCCGTGAACTGAGTGGGATTTGCCCTGGTATGATAGAGCATGTGTACTAACATTTTCAGCCTCCTGTGAAATATTTCTATGATTCATAGAATGAACGAAATGAACAAAAAATGAACATTATCCTAGAATTGCCTAAAATAAGCTGAAACCGATTGGTATCGGTTGGTATTGATACCACAAGTGTCCCTAAGAAGTTTGGTTAGCCTAACACGTTCAGAAATGGCTCTAAGGCAATGTTTTCATTTTGGTTTCAGAGTAGTTGAAATAGTGGTTCAAACATTTGAGACAAATTTGAAAACACGCTTTTGTAGCCGTATTTATGGTTGTACTGACTTGAAATCTATCTGGTATGGTAGAGGGACACGTGTACTAACATTTGCAGCCACTTAGAAGTGTAAAATACTCCCCTGGTTCATGGAATGAACGAAATGAACACAAAATGAACATTTCCCTAGAATCCCCTGAATTGGGCTAAAACCGATTGGAATCGATCGGTTTTGATACCAGGAGTGTCCCTGAGAAGTTTGGTGTGATAATCATGTTCAGAAAGGGCTCTGGGGCAATGTTTCCATTTTGGTTTCAGAGTAGTTGAGATCGTGGAAACATTTGAGACAAAAGTGTGACAAGGCTTTTACAGCCGTATTTATGGTTGTACTGACTTGGAATCTATCTGGTATGGTAGAGGGACAGGTCTACTAACATTTCCAGCCACTTAGAAGTGTAAAATACTCCCCTGGTTCATGGAATGAACGAAATGAACACAAAATGAACATTTCCCTAGAATCCCCTGAATTGGGCTAAAACCGATTGGAATCGATCGGTATTGATACCAGGAGTGTCCCTGAGAAGTTTGGTGTGCCTAGCATGTTCAGAAAGGACTCTGGGGCAATGTTTCCATTTTGGTTTCAGAGTAGTTGAAATAGTGGTTCAAACATTTGAGACAAATTTGAAAACACGCTTTTGTAGCCGTATTTATGGTTGTACTGACTTGAAATCTATCTGGTATGGTAGAGGGACACGTGTACTAACATTTGCAGCCACTTAGAAGTGTAAAATACTCCCCTGGTTCATGGAATGAACGAAATGAACACAAAATGAACATTTTCCTAGAATCCCCTGAATTGAACTAAAACCGATTGGGATCGATCGGTATTGATACCAGGAGTGTCCCATAAGAACACGAACATCGGCTCTCATTGATACCACATGCCATAAGAACACGAACATCGGCTCTCATTAATGCCACATGCCATGAGAACACGAACATCGGCTCTCATTAATGCCACATGCCATGAGAACACGAACATCGGCTCTCATTAATGCCACATGCCATGAGAACACGAACATCGGCTCTCATTAATGCCACATGCCATGAGAACACGAACATCGGCCCTCGTTAATACCACATGCCATAAGAACACGAATAACGGCCAATCAATACCACACAATCTGTTCATGACGTGATCTGTACAATTACAAGATCTGATCAGAGAATGATAACGTACATGATGCTTACTTGAGCAGCATCAGCTTGTTATCCCTGTCACCGGACGAAGGGGTATAAAGGATATCACGACGAGGATCATTTATTTTACCCACCATCTTTACAGCTTTCACTACAACATCTCAGACAGTTACAACACGAAAGCACCTACCCCTTATTCCTTGGTCAGGAATGTACTTTACTACTACTTCTTCTACCCTCCTTCCTTGCTCGGGAACGTAGCTTTCTGCCAGTGGCGTAACAACCGCCCCTGCTAACCCTGCTATCAAATGTTTCCACGATCTCAACTACTCTGAAACCAAAATGGAAACATTGCCCCAGAGCCCTTTCTGAACATGCTAGCACACCAAACTTCTCAGGGACACTCCTGGTATCAATACCGATCGATTCCAATCGGTTTTAGCCCAATTCAGGGGATTCTAGGAAATGTTCATTTTGTGTTCATTTCGTTCATTCCATGAACCAGGGGAGTATTTTGCACTTCTAAGTGGCTGGAAATGTTAGGACATGTGTCCCTCTATCATACCAGATAGATTCCAAGTCAGTACAAGCATAAATACGGCTGTAAAAGCCTTGTCACACTTTTGTCTCAAATGTTTCCACCATCTCAACTACTCTGAAACCAAAATGGAAACATTGCCCCAGAGCCCTTTCTGAACATGCTAGGCACACCAAACTTCTCAGGGACACTCCTGGTATCAATACCGATCGATTCCAATCGGTTTTAGCCCAATTCAGGGGATTCTAGGGAAATGTTCATTTTGTGTTCATTTCGTTCATTCCATGAACCAGGGGAGTATTTTACACTTCTAAGTGGCTGGAAATGTTAGTACACGTGTCCCTCTACCATACCAGATAGATTCCAAGTCAGTACAACCATAAATACGGCTGTAAAAGCCTTGTCACACTTTTGTCTCAAATGTTTCCACGATCTCAACTACTCTGAAACCAAAATGGAAACATTGCCCCAGAGTCCTTTCTGAACATGCTAGGCACACCAAACTTCTCAGGGACACTCCTGGTATCAATACCGATCGATTCCAATCGGTTTTAGCCCAATTCAGGGGATTCTAGGGAAATGTTCATTTTGTGTTCATTTCGTTCATTCCATGAACCAGGGGAGTATTTTGCACTTCTAAGTGGCTGGAAATGTTAGTACACGTGTCCCTCTACCATACCAGATAGATTTCAAGTCAGTACAACCATAAATACGGCTGTAAAAGCCTTGTCACACTTTTGTCTCAATTCTGTCTCATGTTTCCAAAATGTTTCCAAAATCTCGGATTCATGAACTCGCCAGCCGCCATCAGAAGATGCAGTAGATGAATTCATAAATTTGGAACATGGGCACATCACAGTATTGGCCGTATTTGAGTGCTGGGAAGGCTCAGTTCGGATTTCTAAGATGGATATAGCCGTAAGCTAGGCCTAGGAACCATAAAAAGTCGTATGGAATGACCAGAAATGAACGAAAATGAACATTCTTCTCAAAGTGCTCAGAATGGTTTAAAATGGGTCGGAAAGTGTTTATATTAGTCCTAGGACCACTCAAACCAAGTTTGAGAATCATTGCATGTCTAGAACCGATGTTACCAATGTTCCAAAATGTCCCAATTTTGGCACAACAATCCTCCTGAGAAGCCAGATTTTTGGAACATGGGCACATCGAAGTATTGGCTGTATTTAAGTGCTGGGAAGCCTCAATTCGGTTTTCTAAGATGGATGTAGGTAAAAACTAGGCCTAAGAGCCATCAAAACTCAAATAACATTACCCAGGTTCATGGAATGTATGGAAAATGAACAAAAATGAAAATAGTAGTTGAGATGGTGGAAACATTTGATACAATTTTGGAAACATGCTTTTACAGCCGTATTTATGCTTGTACTGACTTGGACACGTTCATAAAAAGGTGGCACTAGAGATTGATTTTTCACTGCCAAAATTGTGTGAAGCATTTTAAAATACTTGTATCTCAAGGAGTATGCTATGAAAGTTAACCAAATTTTAATGTGGTCCAAAAAGATTCAAATGTCACATAATAAAGTCATTCATCTCTTTATATCTGTTAATTGTGCAGATATGAGCCAGAAATCACAAAATATTCATTTCTTGCACCTCTAATGATGAATTTACATTCTGTGAGTGTGTCCTGCTTCTCAATGTGATTATTGAACCTTTTTGAGATAGCTGAGTGTTAAAAGTGCAAAGAATCACCGGTTAAATGTGCAGTTACGATGCAATTATCACATACAGGGTTAATTCTGACTAAGTATTTTAGAATGATGAATGTGATATGAATATCAACGGAATGATTGTAACAATGAACTCTATCAATCACAATTATATCATGCTAACTAATATTTAGAGAATTTAGATGGTTAAAAGTGCCATGAGTCAAAAATCACATAAATGAGCATGTATTGAAATGATGCTGTATCAGGGGAATGTACACTGTCCATTTGAACACTGTCCATTAGTACTCCGATGAAAAAGCGATGAATGTCGATTTGCCGTGATTCTAGCTTTGTGTGTTATTGTGTGATTTCAATGCACGGCAATGAAGGGACTCAGGTACCACGATCTGGCAGACAAACATGTCTGAACAGACATAGCGAGTCAGATCTGGTTCAGGAAATTTTATCGTTAAAGAGATATTCATATTTCATATGAATCAATACTCAGGTTTCTAATCAAACCCCGGGACTCGCCCGGGGTTTGATTATGATACTTTGAGGAATGACATTTGATTTATAAGTTGATTTCAAATCCCCTATGGGTACCAGAAATACTGGTTTCACAACAACAACATCACTTTTTGGCTCTATATCAGGTTGGTATTCATAGTAAATCTGCAGTAATTTGTTGTGACACTGCACTTGTTTATGGTCATGGAGAAGTTCGTTATTAGAGTAATAGTGGAATCAATAATCACAAAACACTGATTTTAAACTGATTAAACTAGGCAAGTACTTTTACTACTCAAGCCATGATAATTTTGTCTCCATACTGTGACAAATGAATCAATCAGTTACGTATAATACTTAATTGAATTTTTGAAATGTGATTATCGATTCATTACCTTTCTTTTCAAAATGTCATTACAACTTGAACATTACATATAATTCAATTGTCATACTTTAAAGAAAATTACATAGTTGGTAGCCAGATTTGTGTGATTTTTGAATCATTTAACCACCCAGATCAAAAATTATCGCTCAAAGGCCTTCAATATGGTATAAGCTTAGACATGGATTCAAAAATCACATAATAAGAACCATAGAATGGATATATGTTGTCATATTGTGCACTTAATTTAAGGCTTACTATAGTGAGACTTAATAGCGCACCAATAACGAAAATGTGATTTTTGAATCATATTAACTGGTTTTAATACTATTTAATACTATTTTGTACCCTAAAAAATGATAGAAAGCCAATAAAAACGTAAGATGATTCAATAATCACTGCTCAAAATAGGCTCATTTCCAATGTTTAAGTTGTGATTTTTGAATCATTTTGGCACCAAAAACAATTTCAGATAAGACATTTTATTCCTTACATGCATTATAGTCACCATATCAATTTTGGTGTCTTTGTGAATAGTACTTTTCAGATTATCTAGTGTCGATTCATCTTGCATTTCTAATTGTGTGATTTTTGAATCATTGGCACACAAATAACGATAACTCCTGTGATATAAGCACTACAGACTCCGTGATTTCAGGATCATGAAATTTAATCGAATTTCTAAAGGTATAGATAGATATATCAACCAACAAAGAGCAATGACCATTTTTAAAACTCATTTAAAAAAAATCAATCTCTAGTGCCACCTTTTTTTGAACGTGTCCACTTGGAATCTATCTGGTATGGTAGAAGGACACGTGTACTAACATTTCCAGCCACTTAGAAGTGCAAAATACTCCCCTGGTTCATGGAATGAATGAAATGAACACAAAATGAACATTTCCCTAGAATCCCCTGAATTGGGCTAAAACCGATTGGAATCGGTCGGTATTGATACCAGGAGTGTCCCTGAGAAGTTTGGTGTGCCTAGCATGTTCAGAAAGGGCTCTGGGGCAATGTTTCTATTTTGGTTTCAGAGTAGTTGAGATGGTGGAAACAATTGACACAAATTTAGAAACATGCTTTTTAGCGGTAATTATGCCTGGACTGGCATGGAATCGATATGGTATGGTAGAGGGGCATATTGTTTACTAACATGTTCAGCAACTCAGAAGTTTTTTTCTTTGAAATGTAATACTCCACCGAAGGGATAGGGTGCGTCAAGAATCATCCAGTTTCACATCGAAAGCACTATTTTCACACATCAAATTGTGACATTTTTTGTTCAACTTTAAAAAAACCTTTTTAGTGCAAAATGATCCCCTGGTTCATGAAATGAACAAAAATGAACTTTACCCTAAAATCGCCTAAACTGAGTTGAAGGCGATCAGAATCGATTGGTTTCGATACCAGGAGTGTCCTTGAAAAGTTTGGTGGCCCTAGCATCCTCAGAAAAGGCTTTGTGGGCAATGTTCCATTTTGGTTTCAGAGAAGTTGGGATTCTGGAACAGAATTGAGACAAATTTGGAACAGGCTTTTTGGGCAGTAATTATGCCTTGGCTGACTTAAAATCGATCTGGTATGGTGGAGGGGTATATTAACTACATTTTTGGGTGTTTTCAAATTTAAGATTTCAAAGCCAGATTTTCGGCTTAAGTTGGCTGGGACATGCCCAAATTGTATATGCTTTGATCGTGATCGGGTTTTCAAAAATAAACGATTTACCTTTCGCATATGATGGACTTTTTCCCGAAGGTGGGTATTTTATCCTTGTAGTTTTCCAGAGAAGGACGTAGTCTTTTCCACATCTCTGTCATCAGAGAAGTCCTCTCGAATAAACGGTCCCTGTTTGGCACTCCTGAGATAATTGACTGTCTTATACACAATGGTTTTACCGTTTACAACATTTGCAGTAATATTTATTACCGAATTTAATTAGAATTTAACCCATACATTTTAAACACATGAACTGCTGTATCAGTAACCATCAAAATACAGACAAACCTATGAATTTGATGTTTATCTTGTTAAGTGGGAGGTTAACCTCTTCTTGACACAAAATACCCAGTCGTCTCCTGAGATCTCCGACATGACAGAGGAAGCTACTGTCGAGTTCGATATTACAGCTAACCTAAGATAGTCAAACTGAGTGGGATCAATTTTAAGCATTACAAATCAGCAGTTATCAAGCAAATGTGATGAAAGAGCCATTATTGAATGTAAGGCAGATCTAGAGCTAGGAATGTGTTTCGGGGCATCGAAGAATAAGTATCTGTGTACTGTTCTTTACCATACCATTTAAACGATTTAATACATGGAAGTATCACAATAATATACTTTTTCAAAAACATAAACACATTTAAAAAAAGGCTCGAATGGGTTATCGATATTTCCATATAATGCAGGATTGAAATAATCTGTTTTGGAGTAATACGTTCAAATTCGATCCTGATCTACAAAAGTGTAACATGATAGCAAAATCCGCTGTGCTTTTCTATACTAGAACAAGTTTTAGTAGTCTCCAGCACATCACAGCTTAAAGGCAGTAACACTAAATCGATTACATTAAATAACCTCTCAAGATCATTTAGTAATATCTGTATTTCAATGTGCAACGAAACAGCTTCTATACTACTTTACTACTTCTATACTACTTTACTATCAACTAGATATAGGGTTTGAGCATTGAAGCTCTATGCTGTGAGCAGCAACGAAAAGAGATGGGAGTGCAATATATCGACTCACTTGTGAAAATAATGATTAAATCTCAAATCTCCTATTTACGATTTCTAACTGCGCGGCGTAGTGCGTACTTTGAAATCCAAATAAAAATTATTTTTGATCAAAATATTGGAAAACAAAATTACAACATGATTCAAATCTTGTGTAAAAAAATGTGATAAACAATATGCTGTTAAAAACTTTCGTGAAAAATTTTAAAAAGCATGATTTCCACCCGATTATGTGAAGTTATCATTTTTATGACTTTTACAGGTTATAATTTTTGTCAAGAGCTTAGCCATTTGTCAAAATTTAGGTCGTGGTATCATGTTTTGTGACTATACAATGAGATTATAATCCGTTGATGTATAATATCTTGGAGTTTATCAGGGGATAAAATTATTTGTAGGTTTATAAACTACCAAAACGCGCGCTGGGTTGGACTCGTTGTATAATAATAATGTATAACTATCAATACATGATACACGATAACGTAAAACTATATAAATCGATAACATATAAGATCAAATAAACCATATGGTACCAAGTTACATTAATTGATGAAATCTTTCCGTGTTTTAGAATAAAAATCCATACACAAATATTCCTAGCTTTAAATATGACACACATTATTACATGATAACGAATTGATTTAACGCGCATATGCAAAATATATTGTAATTGTATAAGAATCGACCTTGTTTTTTAAAGATTAGTCATTTAAAGTATCGATGAGAAAATCCCTGTACAAATAGCTTCTACTTATAATCCGATAGTTTATGTTGTATGATGCAATGAAAATACTCATACCGCGCGCGCAGCTTGAACTACGACATACGCAAGCGTTCAGTTGCAAATTATAAGGTCTACCGAAGTTTGTAGGGCGCGAAAAATTTTATGTTGACGTGCTCGCGCATTCTGAGTAGTCAGCTCGCGTTGGGTATATATCATTATCATCACTATGATATGAGTATGAGTATTGAGTATGACTTTGACCATTGTTAATGATCTGGCCCTTCACCTAACCACAAACCATGTGCTTTTACCTGAGGACCCCAGGCTATTATGTTCATTAACATTCGCGCCACTTCGGGCGCGCTTGTTTCACAAGTCAAGAAGAGGCGGGCGCGCGCTACTGCAAGCGCAAGGGCTCTGGATATGTGGATAGAGCAAATCTAGCCCGGCGCGCGCTACTTCGTAGCACTTGCCATCTGCATCGGGCCATTTCGAGAAGAAAGCGGCGCGCGCTACTTCGAAGAAATTCAGACGAGTGACATCCGTCAAAGTATGACTATGCAAATTGCAAACAAATTTCCAATGCAATTCTAATACATATGACATAATATCAATTCCTATTATAATACTTATTTTAAGTTCAATTCTAAATCTAATTCTATAAAAGAAATAAAATGCCCTAGTTTATCAATATCACTATCAGTCTTGTAGGTTTACAACCTACCAGGACGCGCGCCGAGTTGGACTCGTCGACGGTCCAATATATGGAACAGATATTTTACGAGTATCACCCGTTAATATCAGTCAGACCAAAAGTTTGTATGGATAAAATCTTTCTAAAGCTTGTACGTCATAACATAAAAGTAAAACTGTGCAGGCTGCTGAAACAAAGTTGTAAGTTTATAACCTACCAGGACGCGCGCCGAGCTGGACTCGTCGACTAATTTGAAACAAATATTTTACGAGTATCACCCGAAAAATCAAAGGAACAGCTCACAGGAAGCATGACACAGCAACTGAGCTGATTAGATTCGATTACTGTTCCTAAAACTATATAGATTTAGTAGTAATTAACACATAACAAATTGGGGCATACTTATTATGTAATATGTATTAGTATTACTAAAAGTCAACTACACTTACCTTATCAGACTTTATTTGCACGGGCATTAATTGGACGCTGTAAGCCCTTGCGTTCATTTTAATTTCCGTTAAAACAAGTTCCGACAAGGTAGTTAAATCCAGTCAAATAACGTTAAATAAGGTAACTCAAGTTGCACCTGTGTTTAAACAAACACGCATGTTTACACAGTTGTGTGAAGATTCTCCTCATGAAGTGTTTCCCAGTCCCTCTTAGTCTTCAGTTATAAATTGTTTGTGTTTGGATCCACTACTTCACTTGATAATGATAAGCGAAATTTTGGGTGGGTGGGTGATTAGTCAAAATCGGAAATTTGCTACAAAGAACACATTTTAAAACAGTCCACAGTCTTTCGTGTTATTCTTGATGATGATATCCGTTAATGCGTCAACGACCAACTGGGGGTTACTGGTGTCGGTAGCACAGGTAAAATATGTGCGAATTTTTCTGTTTTCGGTTCTGTTGAGGATTTCGTATTTACCTTGAATGTACTGACCAGCCTCTGTATATTCGTCAGCACCATTATACTCAGGGAAGCATATCTTTAGAGAAGACCTGGTTATTTTCTCCTCGAATAGATCTTTCTTATTCAGGAAAAGGAGAATTGATGCATCCGTAAACCATTTGTTATTACATATTGAATCAAAGAGCTTCATACTTTCGTGCATCCTGTTTGTTGCCTCATCTTCAGCCAGAACCAAATCATAGGCATTGAGTGATGCACAAAAGATGATAGCAGTTACTCCTTCAAAGCAATGGATCCACTTTCTTCTTTCAGATCTTTGACCACTAACATCAAATATGCGGTAATGTAAACCTTGGTGGGAAAAATTTTCTTCGACAATACCAGTTGTTTGCACTCTGCATCTTAACACATCTTGCTCATTAGGAATAAAGTTAGTTTCACAGATCCTATCCAAAGCATCTAGGTAGTATTTTGCTGAATCCATGAGTTGGTACTCTTTGGGTCACGAAATCCTTTCCGAACCTCCACGTGGTGTGGCCTGGTTGGCACTAACGGGTGGTGTGCTCTCTTGTTGAGTACAAAGGTTGGGCCTTGCCAACTCAAAGTTCCCATAGGAACCAGGAAGTCAACACTAACAGCTACCAAGCACCAGGAAATTTCTCTTTCAGATATCAGGTTACAAGATAGTACACACACAAATGACGATACATTAGACACAGATACCTAGCTCTAAGAGCTATTAAATCACCAGGAAATTCTCTTTCAGCTTTCAGGTCCCATCGAAGTCACCCACCACAGAGCTAGGGATTCCAATTCGCTCATCCTGACTACAAGGACACACTGATAATGAGTAGTCCTGGCACTTCTCCCTCCAGTAACCACTTTTCAGGTCTTTTCAGTTAAGACAGCTAATGCGTAAGGGCTGACACACGCTAGACACAGGCTCGTGATAAGACAGAATTAGGGATTTAAACTCTGACTACGAGGACACACTGATAGCGAGAATTCCTGGCACTTCTTCCTCCAGTAACCACTTTTCAGGGGACCGGGTTAGCTTTGCCACACTCTACAATCATCTAGTAGCAGCAGAGTTTGACTGACACCCTTACTGGTTCTATTCAGTTTCTACAGCGGAAGATCTCAACAGTTCATCTCGGACATCCTGCAGAGCTGCTTTTTCACAGCCTGCCCCATTACACGGGGAACCCTTAGATCTACAGTACCCTGGTGGCGAGCATAGCTCACTAAAGCATAGTGGACCTCTTTAGTTCTGAGACGCAAAGCTAACCGGATCAGGAATAAACATCAATGCAATGCTTAGGGGATGCAAATAGAACATACAATGTTTATCGAATGCATTACTCAATCTTTTGATTCATTTTTTTAGCTCGACGTTACATGGTAACATTTCAGGACTGACATTCCTCCCTCAGGTTAATTGAGGAAATCATACCCGCTATTTGCGTTATACATGGCAAGTATCTGGACTTATGATAACTTAGGATCTCCATCAATCATAAATTCCTCTCAGATTCCCAGGCTGCATTTAAAGCGCTTAACAGCACCAGTTTTAACTCCAGGTTCGTTCTGAACATCTCAGACCAACTCACTAGGTATTCACATCGAGTAGGACTTCGTTCCAGGACATTAAGGAGTATACGGTAAAGAACTAGCAGAAGAATTCGCAAGGGACGATCAATCCAACAACATCCCCATAGGACCAGAACCCTTCCTCCCAAATAGGCCACACTCAGTGACAAAGGGACATTCCACTTGTGATGTTCCTCCACAAATTAAATACAGGAACTTTTATTTTTCTGGAACTCACATCAGATGGCTAACATGGTCGCTTTCAGAATAGGTCACAGCCCACTAGTTTATTTTCAGAACGTGGCAAACAACGTCAACTTCAAGACGCAAGATTGCGAACACTTTACAGGAGAAGCAGCAACATCCCAGCACCTCCTCTACAAGTGCATCCAGATCATGACGTTCAGAATGAGAATAATTGGTAAACTCTACCTTAACAACAGTAAACTACATCATATCTTCAAATTTGTGGAACAGTCGACAAGACTGGATAGGGAAAACCCTTTTGGGTAACCTCCTTGGATTCTTCACCAGAAACTTTCGCTAAATCCCATACTAGGAACTCAACCTAGGCCCATCTCCGCATAGAGACATATCTCACAGGCTTTGACCTTGCTCGGAAGTCCCTTGTCTACCCGCAGAAGTACTACAACGGAAGTGGGTTTGCTCTGAGACAGGTAGTGACAGCTTCAAGACTCCAGGGGTCTGTTGCATTGATATTTATTATTTTATGATTTCGTATATACTTTGGGAGTCCTGGCGTGCAGCTAGCAGGAGTTGCATTCTGTGGGCACGGTGAGGAGGCCTCCATCTTAACGTAAGAGGCCAGAAACCGTTGACCAGAACAGAGAGAGAGAGAGTTGGTACTCATTGGAGCGCTGGAAGCACGCCTGAACACCCCCATCAGCCCACAAAGCCTTCATGACCTCAGGTGCACCATCAGGGAGTTGAGTTGCCGTTGTATCCAACAGCTCATAGGATAAGAGCTTTTCACCATCAGGTTTCCGTTCTGAGTTGGCAAATTCAACATGAGGCGTTATAGAGTTCATAGCTTGTAGAATGTTGCTGAGTGACACAAGAGCGTTATTTAGGATACAATTTATATACTTCTTTCGGCTCTCCTCGTTGTATCCTGACTTGTGGAAGATAACCATCTGCTTCATAACAGTTGATATGCCAGATTCTCTAGCCCCCAATAGCAGCAGCTTAACTTCTCTTGCCGACTCTTCAGCATCTTCCATGATTTGCTCCTCAAGCTGCTTACTGTACCTTTTTTCTGCGGTGTCGTCACCCCCGCAACATCCCATTGTGAACTTGTCAAAGAACAGGTTAACGCCACGGAAGATTTCATTTTATCAAAATTTGTTAATTCTCCAGAATGTTTGCAAGTAACCGGGTAACAAATCAATCGGTCAAGGGAACTCTCTAGAATGTGTGTAATTGATTTCAGGACACATGAGAGTGGTCAGAGCCGACTCGTTATGGAGAATCAACCGCCCTATTTGTGTTTCTAACAGCGCTATAACTATCACATAAACACCAAACACTGTTTCTGCATGTTTTGACCAGTAATAGGTCTGTATTATTAGTTAAATATCTGTTTGGTTGTGCTTGCTTGTTAAAAGTATGCTGATTTGTATCAAAATTACAACCGCACAGATTATAATACTCCACAATCAAAATATAAAATATTGCGAAAACCAGCTATAAATAGTTTACCTTGACATGAGCTCAGTATTGAGTAGCCATCACTTTGGCTTAAAGTTAAAGTATCGCTTTGAAGCATTTAATTAGTGATTGTCACTCTACACTCGACTGTCACGTGACTTTTTCATCCCGTTCTCTAGCTGGACCTGAACGGCTATTCGAAACCCTAACCCTCTAATTTGATCCCAACCATAACCCAATCCTTAACAAAAGCATATGCTGAAACCCTAACCCTTGCGAGAAATTAGACTAACTTCCTTACACGGTCATATCACGTGATCGAGACAGTTTTTCGCCAATATCTCGTCAGGAGGATTTTAACCCTATGTCATGGGGGTGATTCGGAATCAGCGTCCGAAAATACATCGATTGAAGTTGGTTTCAACTGTCGGGGGCCCTTTTAGAACAATCGAAGATCGACTGTAGAGTGATTTAGCACGCTCGTTTAGAACTACTGCAAAGTATTGCCATTGGTAACGGTAGCGAGATCATTATCTCCAAAACCAACATAACGACCTTTTCATGCTAGGATATTATTCCCTAATCACATTTATAACGACACAACCTGGCAGCCTGTATTTGTTACGTTTACATTTTACCTACTCCACAAAGCATGTTCTAGAAGGACCTGTAAGCTGTATACCGTAATAGTTTACTAAAATTTCCAACGTTCGTCTTGTCGGGATATCTTTTTAGATTGTTGCTATTTCGAGGGAGTCCTTATTCAGAAAAAAAAACTCTGTAAATTTGTTCGTCTCGGTGCAAAAGGAGATCTGTCCCTAAGACATTTCACCTGACTACCAAACCGAGCAAGGATATTTTAGAGGAAAAACGATTTAACTACTACGAAGACTAAATAATGTCAATTTTTATTACTGGGGACGAATTGACAGTCTCCACTGACTGTAAAACAAAATACATCTATACTGTCGCCATATCGGCTACAGGTCTTTGTCATAAACGAAACAAGCATAGGGCGAAAGAATTACGTTGAAAGAATCCACATTCCACATCATCACAAAGTGGGAACTTTTACTAAACTAGGAATTACAAAAGGTTTGTCAGTTTGTCACATCTTAAAATAGTAAACATATAAAACATATAACACATATAAAACATATAAAACATAATAGTATATAAATGATGAAAAATCCCAAGACTCGATTGACACAGCCGCTTCCTACGGTTTGTGACGGATATTTTTTGATGCGATAAAAACTGACTACCAAAGAATACTATTAGCTTCCTCCGTGTGACCACGGACTTTCTAGTTTGAATATAATATCATATTATCTGTATACATGCGAATTAGAATCATTTCAAAAACAGTGTACAATGAAATACTACGAATCTAGTGTTCAAATTTTTGCAATTTTAGTCATTATGCTACCATAAGCTTGATCGAAAAGGATTATAATTATAATACATAAAACTGAGTTGGCATCTACATAAAATATCATTATTTGTGTATGAGAAATATCAGACATTAATTGTAAAACAGTAAGCATAAAAACTGATCGTCTTTGTAAGGTAATCACCGACCGACATGTTACCGTGCCATCTTCCCACTACAACTCCATCTACCACCACAGCCATGTGTTCTCGATCTTCACTGCCTCGAGTTGCCCGATATTTATATCATCTTCGAAGGAGCACTGACTTTGAGATCCTTCAGAACGGTCTGCCGAGCAGTCGTGTGGGCTGGTTTCACCTTCAGTTCCGATCAGAGTAAAAAGATAGGCGCCGCTTGTAGTTCCTCCGTGATGTGTACCAGTACTGGTTTGTTGTATGATAGTGTACACTACATTTTCTCCTGAATAAGTTCAGATCAGAAAGGACCCTGGCAACTGATGTTTCCGTAGTAAATAGTTTGCAGATGATAAACGTACCCATAACTCTTATATCAATCTCGTTGCTTGGTTCGGGTTGAGCGTCATCACTCCAGACAGCAGAGCAGGAGTAAGAGCCTTCATCAGAGCCCTGTACCATTGTGATACTAGTCTCACATGAGAACTTGCCTCCTTCCAAACTGTTGGGTATCATACGGGTTATAATCTGACCATACAATATATATTACATTATACATTATGCGATATTAATCATAATTTAGCTTGAACTGTAAGTGACGCAGTTCAGCTCTAAAGATGACATCCATCGCGCCTCTCAGCCGGTGACTGGCAGATGGTGGCTAATGAAGTCACTTGAATGTTTCGGTAACGTTAATCTGTTCTAAGTCTGAATGAATAATCGCTTATCTGAATAAACAAAACTGTGCACGGTTCAGTACCGTTTATCTGCTGTAAGTCTAAATAAACAATCACCTGAATGGTCCAGTTGCGTTAATCTGCCTCGAGTCCTTTTAGAAAAGACAAAGTTCTGGCTCAGAGGCGGCGGTTATCTTGCAGCTCAGGTCAAGAACGGAACTTTCCAGAACGTTAAGAGAGGTAGTGCTGATTTGTACTCGTGAGCAAGAAGGTTTATCAGTGCAGGTATTCAACTGAGTAACAGTAATACTCTGTCCTCCCAACTGGAAGCCCTGGTTACATCTCACTGTGACGGGTTCTCCCAGTTTGACAATCCACCCAGCAGGTGGGTCGCTCACTCCGTATCGCACCTCCTCCATCTGACACACTTGTATACAGAGAGAAGGAGCAGTAGCTGACCGGTACTGGTACGAGGAACACGTGATAGTTCCCGTCTGGTCTTGGTATGTTCCCACCGGGCAGCTCACATATTGGTCACCAGATTGGTAGGTTCCTTCTACGCACACCACAGCACCACTGTAAACACAAACGTTATTATTTGAATACGTTAAAAGAAATATGACTTTCCTGATATAACTGGTATTAATGTTAAACTTATTGCATTGAGAATAACTCATCCCTAAGCCGAGATAAGAAATACAGACTTACTACAACTGATGTCCCTAAGCCGAGATAAGAAATGCAGACTTACTACAACTGTTGTCCAGAGGAACGGATCCAGCACCACAACGTATCTCGTCAGATCTGGTCACGTGAGTGGCGTTTAATTTCCTGTTCCCGCGACTGAAACAAAAGTAGTGTTATGTTCATTAATTTAACTCGCTTAAAATCAAAATTAACGAACTTCTATCGGTCAGAAAATCTAAAAATCATGATTAAAACTTACAAGCGTCGAATGACAATGTTGGGAAATCATCCTCAGCCGCTCTCCTCCTCCTTTTATTAGAAGAACACTTGAGTCTAGTCATAATTGTGATGGGTGCTTTCAAACACGAATCCTCAATACAACAAGCACAGTCTCCCACGCATTTAGCGGCATCCATCACGGTGTACGGAGCGAAGGTGGTGGACTGCGCCCACTCAGAGAATTCAGTGAAGAGTTCCAGTCTTCTGTCCGTGCCGGTGTTACCTGTCTGCTGATACTTCACCTTCAGCCAGATGAAGTTACCCGTGGTATAACAGGCGTCGTGAGTGTTATCGTAGGCAAAGTAGTTGTCCTTCTGGTTGAGAATCGAGCTTAGAGTGATAGCTAATTCAGCTAAAACGTGCGATCTTATTCCCAAATGTTTTGAGTGTTTGTGTAAATCATTTTCCAGTTTTTTGGTAAAAGGAGTATTAAACTAACCAAACTACAGTCTCCATCAGAGAGACAAGTAAGAGAAGAAGCAGCGTTAGCCACGTGGTAAGGGAAGGCTAGTCGGAGGTAGTCACCGTAGTAGTCAGTACAGGATGCCACCCAGGGCAGCTCGTAACCCACAGAGAAGGTGAGTGTGTAGGAGGTCGGCACAACCACTCCTGTGAGGGACAGGATCATTAGGGTATGTTAGGTATGTTAGGTATGTTAGGTATGTTAGGTATGTTAGGTATGTTAGGTATGTTAGGTATGTTAGGTATGTTAGGTATGTTAGGTATGTTAGGTATGTTAGGTATGTTAGGTATGTTAGGTATGTTAGGTATGTTAGGTATGTTAGGTATGTTAGGTATGTTAGGTATGTTAGGTATGTTAGGTATGTTAGGTAAGTAGGGTATAGATAAGGGTTCTGTATGGAGGCGAGGACAATTAATTGAATCATCGTAATTGAATAAACTAAGGCAATGTTAATTGAATCATACACTCGTAATTGAATAAACTAAGGCAATGTTAATTGAATCATACACTCGTAATTGAATAATGTGATACTATCTGACAAAGTTAATTGATTCATACACTAGTAATTGAATAATGTGATACTAGCTGACATTGTTAATTGATTCATACACTAGTAATTGAACAATGTGATACTGGCTGACAAAGTTAATTGATTCATACACTAGTAATTGAATAATGTGATACTAGCTGGCATTGTTAATTGATTCATACACTAGTAATTGAACAATGTGACACTAGCTAGCCAATATGAATGGATAACGTCTGTCACGTGACTTGTAAGGGTGTTTGATATTCTTCTTATCAAATTATTAATGTTATTGTTTACGTCACGTGATTTGCTAGTGTAGATGAAGTTCTGTACGTGATCAAATTAATGTTATCGTTTACGTGTGATGATTATATTTGTTACATTGAAGTTGAGTAGTGAATGAGACACGTGATTTTAGAGATAAAACACCATGTACTT